GCACGAGTTCGATCATGAGCCTCGCATCGCCTTTCACATGAACGTAATATTCAAAGTGCAGACCGATTAAAAGAAATCTAAAAACTAATCTCTCATGGGAATGAAAAATTCCGAAAAACGCTACATGAAGGCTTCCGCCTGTCATCAAAGCATTGCTGAGATTCGCCATGCACTTTACTTTCAAACGCAAATCGGCTTGGTAGGGGCACCGAATGGCGATTTGTGAAGCCTGTGAAAACCATTTTGGGAAGCCCTGTAAACTCTTGCAACCAAAGTGGCTCCTCTGTACCATTTCGTAGCTCCGCAGTTCATCTGTTAGCTCACAGAACCAACAAAAGGATCTAGTGCAGGGCACGCCATCGCGTTGTGATCATTTCCTGAAAAATACGACCCCCCCTCCCCATGCTACCTACCACTTTCCTAGATTTTCCCAACTTCCTACCACTTTTTCCATTTTTTCCCGAAAATTTCCAGTTTTTCAGCCAAGAAATTTTCCGTCGAGCGGGGGGAGGGGGGAGGGAGGTCGTCGGGATTTGACTATCATTTTCGACTATCGGAAATAGATCTTTGGCAGTCCCCCTCTCAACAACGGCCAAATACGATCTCCCCCCTTATACCGTCCGTGAAACAAGAGAAATCAACTACCAAATCTCAGACCAAATACGACCCCCCTCCCTCCCTCGCGGTCAAATACCAACCCCCATTGTTATCATCACAACGATGGCGTGTCCTGGCGATCCCCTGCCCTGCAACCGAGGATGACCCCCTGATGGGATTGTACTCCAGCTCGAATGTCACGTGAAGATTCTCAGCTGTGATACGATGCCGCATCACCGTTCCCATGAACTTTAACACCGACAAACATTGTTGAGACAGATGGAGCGAAAAAAAACCAGCGCAAAATATGGTCCAAATATGGCCCACTATTAATAAACTTTAAACGACAATCACTGACAGACATTACTGAAGGAAGACATTTCAGCTTCGATGCTCGTAACCCAATGGCCTGCGTGCAAGTCGATCTCCCTCATCCGAGACCAGTCTGACTGTGGTACGTAAGACAGTTTTTCTATCTCATAAACTTTATTCATTTTTCGTAGTCATTCGCTCCTATGCTATTCGGCAAAGGAAGATATTCGCGATGAAGGCGGGATTTTCGGGTGGGCGAGGTTTCTTAGGAAAATCCTCTCGCTTTGGAAGTTCGGGGACTCTCGTTGAAAATCACAACGGAAAAAGTGTGCACTGCTATCACCGAATGTCAGTTGGATTTCAGGTTCCTGCTGGGCTTTCGGAGCCGCTGAGGCGATGTCCGACAGAATCTGCATTGCTAGCCAAGGAAAGACTCAGGTATATCAATTTCCTGAAAATATTGGCTTCTATTATTCGCCTCGAAAACCCTCTTTGCAATTCTTATCCGTAAGACGGATTGGGCCTGGCATTTGAACATGGCATAGGATGGGTTACTTATATTATTAGATTGAAATTCTGTCACCGGTCTGTGCTAGGACAATTGTCGTTGCAACTGTCCTGAACAAAAAATTTCACGAACCTTGCACCACCATGTTTAGCTCAAGTACGGCAGTCATGCCCACCGCGCCTCAAAAATTTTGAGTGCCATTAGTCCATGACGTAAATTACTTTTATTATTTATATAACGGTTACTGTACTTGATCCTGACCATTTCTTGGGTTTTGTACGTCCAGATTAAGTATTCATGGGTGAAACATCTTTGAAAAATTTTATTCCATTTTGCGAGGGGGCGTTGGGTGAAAGTGTTGTTGCGTTGAGAACAGAGTATTTGAAGGAGCAGGAAGCCTCTCGAAAAGCCCTAATTTCGTCCACAGAAGCAAGCTCACTCATCTGTGACCTGTTTTCTGACCATTACGTAAAGTAACCAAATCAACGGAGCTCTACGAGTCAGTAGGGCAAACGGGGGATACTGTAACTTGTCTCTTGTTCATATGAATGGGGTTTTGGAGCAAGATCCACAACTGTGCTATCCTCGTTGGTGCATCCCTCTTCTGTCCATCGTCCTAAAGATGGAGGCGCTCCAATAGCAAGCACAAAAGGCAGGGTTGAACCCGCCTCAAGACTAGCAGAGGACTTGTTTCTCAATACATCCATCCTACTTATTATGTGTGAAATTAATCGAACTGTGTACAAGAAGTAGACTATTTTTGACACTATATCTTCCATAAGCCAGATGAATATCACAATTCTATTTTAGGTCACAATCTCAGCGGACGATGTGCTATCATGCTGTGGAAAGAAATGTGGTGATGGGTGAGTGATAGAAATCTTATGAAAACCTCGAGCAATAGTGAGAGTGAAGCTGCGGAGCAAAAAACATTTCTGCCTCTCTATGGAAACCCCTCAGGGTATCGTCCGAAATAAAAACCGCTGATAAATTCAGTTCTTGTGGTCCGGAACGTAGTACTCGAACACACCATGGACGCGACAGCTGGTTTTCCATTCCCTCGACGTTACGGTTATTCTACACGGGCAAATATGGTCCCATGAGTCAACTGGTGTCCACGGGGATTTAAAGAGCTTTCAAGGCACGCTGCAATTGCAGAGCGTTTCCTGCCGAGTGTCAGTTCTTGAAAGTAGCACAGCTTTGTGATCTCGGGCCAAATCACCCTGTGCATATAGGAAGTTTGAGCATCAAGTAACGGCGCTGTGTGCCTTCAGGCTCGCACTGAAGGTGCCTGATGGGTGCGTTTTTTCTTCTTGTAACATCTATCTCATAACAATAACAGGGACAGTTAAAGAGCATGAAAGGAAAGCAGCATGGCTCCTCAATATCTAGGAGCGCATTGAAGTCATAATGAAGTGTAAGCGTAAATAAAAGAATGAAAGATGAGGGCAGATCCCATTTTTAATATCACTGTGAAGCAATTTCTTAGAGAGAAAAGCACAGTCCCATGGGCGTTTTTGGAAGGCAGGTCGAGCCTATCATTCCATATTCTTCATTGGCAAATCCGTTCCCTTACCATTCTTCTCTGTGGGGACACCAGCGGAAGGAGTGGTGCCATACGAGAGTGGGCTGTGGCTCTAACCCAGATCAAAAGTCCGACTGCAGAGCTTTGTGACACAGATTTAACTTACCTTATTGGTTTAGATGCGAAGGTGGATATCCAATCGAAGCTTGGAAGTACTGGGTAAAGACTGGAATTTGCACAGGAGGATCATACGAATCACAGGTAGGTCGAATGTTTTTTAATGGAAAAAGGATTTCGTAGACGTTTTCATGCTTTATTCCTTGTCCTGGCGTTGGAGTTCTAATAGCTTGGCACAGAATTCGCGATGTCTGTTACGCGGAATCATGCGTCTGTTTCCCTGTCTTATTAGGAAAGGATCACTTTGCGATATCTGATTTTAGTCGACCGAGAAATCTGGTCGTTTCGGATAAGAGTCGGACTTTCGAGAGAGTGGACTTTGCCTGGAGACAGCCGACGTGGAAGGTTACAAAACCTCGTCTGAACCTCCCATCAACCATCAAAACTTTCTTTGGGTTACCGTCACTGACGAACCTTTTGTCCATGTCTATCTCTGAGCGCCATAAACTAGGCCTTGGTTGACTAGGATGAGCTTGTGAGCGTTCTCCTCTAAGATTAGGCAACCATACCAGTACCTGGTTGAGCTTGTTTATTTCATGTATCATTTTAATATACAACAAACAAGTGGGATTTCAGTCTGGATGCAAGCCGTACCCGATTCCCCCATGCGGTCATCACCCAAATCAGACCTATTTCGGACCCTGCCCCACAGACGAGTACGACACACCTGTATGTACGAACAAGTGCATCGCTGGATACAGCAAGTCCTACAGCGATGATAAATATTACGGTAAGAGAACATTTTCCTTTGCAATCACATTGATACTAATCTCATCGGCCTGGTATTGCAGGTACATCCGCCTACAATGTTGCCAAGACTGTTGCTGGTATCCAGAAGGAAATCATGACTAATGGACCCGTGGAGGCCGCTTATACCGTCTATGAGGACTTCTACCAGTACACTGGTGGAGTATACACCGTAAGTCCTCAGAGCAGCCCTTGGTTGCCCTTTTGGGTGGCCAGTTTGCAATCAGGGATGTGAAAAACCGATAGCAAACTAAATACACACTTTAGCACACTGGTGGAGCTGCGCTCGGTGGTCATGCAGTCAGAATTCTTGGATGGGGTGTCGACAACAAGACCCCATACTGGC